TTTGACCACTTGAGCAATGATTTGGCAAAGGACTACAGGCAGAGTTTAGTTTAGTTTATTGTCACTGCACATTGTACAATGAAATTCAATACCACCTTCACTGTACTATACAGTAGAATTCAACAGAGCTACTGCCCTGGGATAGAAGCTGTTTTTCAGCCTATTTGTCCTATTTGTTTTTATTATCCTGTACCGTCTGCCAGATAGTAATAGTTTAAAAAAGGGGTGCCCAGGATGAGATGGATCTTTGAAAATGTTTTGAACTTTCTTAAGGCAGCGGGAGCTATAAAGCTCTTCCAAAGAGGGGAGAGGGCAACCCATGATCCTCTGGGCAATGAGGTTAACCCTCTGGAGGACTTTCCTATCTGCCACTGTGCAATTGGCAAACCCTACACAGATACAATAAGTTAAGATACTCTCTCTGGTGCTGTTGTAGAGGGTCACCAGCAGTTTCTCATTCAGTTGTTGTTTCTTGAGAAGTCTCAGGTAGTATAATCTCTGCTGGGCCCTTTTGACCCAGGTCAGGTCCTCTTTTAGGGTAACACCCAGAAGCTTAAAACTGGCCACTTGCTCCACTCAGTCTCCATTGATAAGCAAGGGCCGGATTCCTGATCTGTTCCTTCTGTAGTCCACTGTCAGCTCCTTGGGCCTATAGGTGTTGAGAACCAAGTTATTGTCTCCACACCTAAGTTGTCCTCTTGTTTCCTCTTCCTGGAGACCAATTGCTAGGCTGTATAAACTTGGCACTTTCTGTTTTGCTTCAGTAACCACAGAATGGCCAACCAGCTTGCCCTTTATATGAGATCTGCTTTTTGAATAGGTTGATTTGGTCCTGTTGACTTTTGGACCATATCAGTTCATTTTAAGACCGATCTGGTGCCTCCTCCAGGCCTTGCCTGTTTCTAATCTGTGTGCAGCAGACAAGAGCGTGTTCAAAAATTGTTCTTCGGTTGGATTTTAAAAAACCACAGTTAACATCGCTTGTTAAATCAGATGGGGCAGGAGGAGTTGTTTGAATGGTCTTCCAATTGCCAAAGAGTTGCAATAAATGATGAATGCTAACCATACCTTGGTTCTTCACGGGGTACGTCTAGTGGGGGAATTATATGAAGGGCTCTGAAACTCTGCTTGTAACAAACAATGGGGGTGAGTTCACATAGTTGCTAGGATGAAGTGTTCCTGACTGGCCCTAGGTGCTTTGCTTAGATGATGGTTTATAGTTTACTTTTTATGTAAATACAAGTCTTGGACTAAGTAGTCCATGGGGCCAGACCATTACAAAACAGTTGAGGTTGGACCATGCAGGAGAAAAATAATTATCCGCTCAAAAGATCAGTTAAGATTTCTAAGAATCGGTTTGGTTTTCAAGGGGGAATACTGGTGTATCTGCCAATTGTTGCCCTAATAGGTAACTGGCCAAATGTAACTGAATTAAATATTTTGCTTTCCTTTTTTAAAAAAAATTGCTCCTTTAACTGAATACAGAAAAGATAAAACATTACGTAAAGTTATGAAGAAAGAAAAAAAAACCCTACAAATTGTATGCCTATTTATAGAGACGCATATAAAAATATGTGTTTCAGTGAATGGTAACCATATTTCACCATAATCATCCATTGCTAATCTGTGTTGATTGTCATTCCTTTGCAATGTTGCTACCTAGGCACATCATTCGAGCTGTATGTTTATCTTTCCACGGTTGAAGTCTTTGAGTTTCAGAAAGAGCTTGGAGAATCAATTTGCTTTCCCCACTTACTAATTTTCATGCAGTAGAAAAGTAGAGTCTTTTTCTGCTTCTTATAAAAAATTTCAGGGAGACAAATTGTAATACAGTATATGCCGTACTCATTTCAAATGACTCGCTATTCATGTAAGTTCACTTTGCTATTAAAGAAAATACACTTTTATTACTCATAAAAGTATGCTGTGTATATTCAGTTGGTAAATGTAATTACTGCCTGACTGAACTGTAGTCTTACTTTAAGCAATATAGCCCACAGTCACATTTATTAATTGAATTGAATTTAAAATGTTTTAAAGTTTATTGCAAGTCAAGTGAACTTCAAAGATCTCTTAAGTTTCTCCGTTTGACAAGTTGAAGAAAAATGTGAGTTTAAAGCAGGGAGGATATTTCCAGCACAGTCCCAGAGAAAAATAGGAGCTTTTAAATTTAAAGCCTGGTTAGGAGCAGATCCACAAAGGCGTCTTTAAAAAGTCAGAGAAACTACACAGCAAGAATAGACACAATTTAGGTCTTATTTCCTTCAAACCTGGCAGTGCCCACCGTAAGAGATTGCCAACCTGTCACTGGTTTACAAGAATTCTAGCCCTCTCGATGTGCAAGATTGGTGACTCTCAAACTTGAAAACTTTACAGTATGTGGCCTTCACAATGGACACACATTTTAAAAGTTGTCAACTTTGAGAAAAACTATTCAAGATAAAAATCTTGTATTAAAAAAAAGTTACAGGGATGAAACTATTGTTGCTGTTTTATCCTGGAAGGGAATAGTTTGTTGCTTTTTTTATTTTTCCAGATTTTTTTAAAAAAAATAAATTCCTGGGTTAAAAAAGTCTTGTTCTGATATTTTTTCAGCCTTTCTTTTCTCCCTAAGCCTTTATATCTCAAACAGGCTCTTGCTGATTTAAATTCAGGTTAAATATTATTTTAGGCCTAATTTAGTTTTAGGCTTTTAAACTGTTTGTAATATTATTAAAAGTTGCCGAGAGACACTACTTGTCAGCAATTATATATACTGCTGACAACTAGTGTCCCTCAGCAACTTTTGATAATAATTTTTTTTTAAAGTCTAAAAGCCTAAAACTAAGTAAAATAGAAGAGTAAGAATAAGAAATGTCTGTATATAGGAGAAAATTAGGAATAAATTTGGGTTCATTGGCCCTAATGAACAACATTGGTAATAATAGTGCTTTCTCATAGCTGTATTTGGCACGTCTGTGGTTTAATAGCGGGAATATTTAACACCTGATATCTGAAATAGGTCTAAAAATTATTTTTTACCAGTTATTCCATATTAATTACTTACTTCATTTCTTAGATGATCTTAAATATTGGTCTTCTTTCCCTCCCTTCAAATGCTACACCCTTCATGAATCAATTCATTGCAAACAGTTACTTTCTTTGTGTAGCTGTGAAATCTGCAGAGAGCTTAGTTAGTGAGTAATGGGATCTGCTGCTGTTGATCTAAGGATAGCAATGTTAATAATTAGATAAACATAACTATAGGTTATGTTTATCTAAATATAGATTGCTTGCTACCCCAGCCCAGCAGAAAGATATTACTTAGGGTGTTAAGATAGGGGCTTGATAATGTATACATCATGCTAAAGTGTACTTATTGGTTATTTTAACCATAATTTGTGGAACAAGCCGTAGATTTCATTCATAGCACATTAAGACATGGGTCAAATACATCATAGTTCCAGCATTATTCTGGGTTCCCACAACTTTAAGCTATAAACCATGATTTACAAAGCCAAAAAGTGATTCAGTTGGATTTGTCTTGATAAATCCAGATAGGCGTCTTCTAAGCTAAAGACTAAAGTTCTCAGTTGGCATTTCTTGAGTCTCTTAGCTCAAAGCTATTTTACTCAAAATGCTTAATTTCATTTTTTTGTAAAGCTGTAAAATAGCTTTGATCTATTTCTGTTGCTGACTTTCCATCTGAATTGAGGAAGGGCCTCCGTGGTGGCCCCCTCTCACTGGACCATCATCCCCACAGAGCAGTGGTGGGATTCAAATTTTTTTACTACTGGTTTTGTGGGCGTGGCTTGGCTTGGAGGTGTGGCTTGGTGGGCGTGACAGGGGAAGGATTCTGCAAAATCCCCATTCCCTCCCCACTCCACTAACGTGCTTTCCAGCTCCGTTCTCCTGTGCAGGGCAACAAAAGAAGACCCAGCCGATCAGCCGGGACTCAATGGGAGGCAGAGAATAGATGGGGGTGAGGCCAGTCAGAGATGGGATTTGCCGGTTCCCTGAACGACTCAAAATTTCCACTATCGGTTCTCCAGAACCGGTCAGAACCTGCTGAATACCCACCTCTGCCCCAGAGATTAGAATGGCCCCCACTCTAATACTCTTCCAGAAGGCGCTGAAGATCTGGTTCTGCCAGCGGGCCTGGGGAACCCAGAGCAGTATGGAACCCTTTAAATGTCTCATGTATGGTGCTGTCACTGGGGCGGGGGGTGATTTTATTATATTAATTCATTATATAACTCTTATTAGTTGTATTGTTTTTATATGAAGTTTTATATTTGGTAAGCTGCTTTGAGTGACATGTGCAAATAGACGGCAATATAATAGCAACAGCAATAACACTTAGACTTATATACCGCTTCACAGTGCTTTGCAGCCCTCTCTAAGCGGTTTACAGAGTCAGCATATTACCCCAACAACCTGGGTCCTCATTATACCCACCTCTGAAGGATGGAAGGCTAAGTCAACCTTGAGCCTGGTGGAATTTGAACTGCCAAATTGTAGGCAGCTGGCTTCAGAAGTAGCTTGCATACTGCACTGTAACCATTGAGCCATGGAGGCTCCTAAATTCTCAGAATAAATAAATTGGTACACGGTCTGGTTCATTTCCAGCTCAGAGTTTACTGTTGAGGTTTGGTTCATTTTATAGCATAATGTATATAAATGAGCTCGTCCATTGAGTTTCCTGCTGTCTGCAAACAGAGCCAGGTATAGTTTCTTCAGCAAATTGTGGATTTAAAAATTGGAGTTCACACAAGGCAGGGGAGGATGTTGCTTCAATTGTGCCTTTCAGTTTCCAAAGCATGATTGTAACAAAGCAAGGGGGGGGGGGGTGCGAGAGCGCTAAAGTACAAAATGGTTGAATTTTACACTAATGCCCGTGCATATGTCCTCCCAACAGAAAATGATCCACAGCCTGTTTCTTATAAATTCTTCTGGGGACATATTCTTGGAGAAGCACTGGAAGAGCGTCGTCTGCCAATCTGTCTGTGACTATTTCTTTGAAGCTCAGGAAAGAGCAGCCGACGTGGAAAATGTGCCTCCTGTCATCCCCACCCCTCACCACTTCCTCATCAGCATCTACCGAGACAAAATCTTCTTTGTGTCTGTCATACAGACGGAAGTGCCCCCTCTTTTTGTCATCGAATTCCTCCACCGCGTAGCAGACACGTTCCAGGTTGGTCTGCAGAAGGGTTGGGGGGGGGGGGGGGGGGGGGGGGGGGGGGGGGGTTAGGGGAGAAATTGAGCTGCAGTTCATCTCTGGCTGCCTAGGCACTTTGGAAAGCTCTGGTGTCAGGACTCCCAACCAATCCACCCACATTCACATCATAAGTCTCTAGCCGCATCTCTCAGAGGAAAGAAAATGGATTTATTAGAAGTGGCCCTGTTGGCGTTAGCTGGGTGCAGCCGACACTAAAATGCATCCTTCATTTCCCCCTTGACTCTGATCTTCCTCCCACCCCCTGGATGTACATTCTCCAATGGGACACATCCATAGCCGAGAGTCATCATTCATGCTCTCCAGTAATATTCTTGTGCTCTGACAACTTTGGGCTCCCCGGATGATTATCTAGGCACTTGAGGAATGCACTGTTATCCCCCACTCCCATTTTCTGGCAGCTAAAAAGACCAAAGGAGTATCTTTTTAGTTGACATCTGGATCATTTCCATGTATCAGCCATAGTGGTTAGGCCCATGATGGCAAACCTATGTCATGTGTGCCGGACATGGCACACAGAGCCATTTCTCTGGGCATATAAGCCATCACCTGTTGCTCTTCCAGGTTCCGGTGTGCTGGTCTTCACGCGCACAGGAGCGCTGGAAACTGGAAGAGCAGCCGCCCAGTTTGCATGCACGTGCCAGGAAGATGATCTTCCGGATTCCGGCGCATACATGTGCATTGGCCACTTGGCCTTCTGGTTTCTGACATGCATGCACACATGAAGACCAGCTGTATGCATAATGGTTGGGTGTGCATACCGGAAACAGGAAGATCATCTTCCCAGCACATGCATGCGTACCGGGCGGCTGCTTTTCCGGTTTCCGGTGCACACCTACACATGTGCGTGCTCCCATTTTGGCACTTGGTGCCGCAAAGGTTCACCAACCCTGGGTTAGGCTATTTTTTTTT